CCGGTCCCAGCCGGGCCCCCTGACACCTTCCCGAGTCCTCTGAGCCCTCGGCCCCGTCATGTCCCAGGCCGGAGAGGGGCCGGACCGAGCGGCCCGGCCCAAGGAAAGGTCAGGCGAGGCCGGGGGCCGGCGCAGCGGACGCAGGCGGGCAAAGCTCCCGGAGACCCCGGCGGGGCGGGACCCAGAGGGGGCAGAGCCGGGCCGGGGGTCGGGGCGCTCGCTGCGGCAGAGGATCCGGGACGCGGTGGGCCAGTGTTTCCCCATCAAGGGGCCCGGCGGGCCCCGCGCCCCGGAGTTCTCCCCCTCCCAGCGCAAGATCCACCTGCGGGAGCTGATGCTGGAGACCTGCCCCTTCCCGCCCGGCTCGGAGCTGGCCCGCAAGTGGAACCTCATCAAGCAGCACACGGCCCCCGTCTCGGCCCAGGAGGGCCTGGCTTGCGGCGGGGCGGGGCCGGCAGAGGACGAGGACGACCGGCTGCGGGAGAGGAGGCGCATCAGCATCGAGCAGGGGGTGGAGCCGCCCCCGGACGCCATGATCCACACCTTCGAGGCCAGGGCGCAGATCAACCCGCTCTACAAATTGGGGCCCAAGCTGGCCCCCGGCATGAACGAACTGGCCGGGGACAACCGGGCCACCCTGGCCCCCCAGGAGGAAGAGGAGGAGGAGGTGGTGGCGGCCCCCGAACCGGAGCTCCGCGTTCACACCCAGATCGACTACATCCACTGCCTGGTGCCGGATCTGCTGCAGCTGACCCGGCTGGCCTGCTACTGGGGGGTGATGGATCGCTACCAGGCCGAGGCCCTGCTGGAGGGGAAGCCGGAAGGGACCTTCCTGCTGCGGGATTCGGCCCAGGAGGATTATCTCTTCTCGGTCAGCTTCCGGCGGTACGGCCGCTCGCTCCACGCCCGCGTCGAGCAGTGGAATTATAACTTCAGCTTCGACGTGCACGACCCCGGCGTCTTCCACGCCCCCACCGTCTCGGGCCTGCTGGAGCGCTACAAGGACCCCAGCACCTGCATGTTCTTCGAGCCCCTGCTCTCCCGCCCCGTGTGCCGGCCCTTCCCCTTCGCCCTGCAGCACCTGTGCCGGGCCGTGGTGGCCGGCTGCACCTCCTACGATGGCATCGGCCGCCTGCCCATCCCCGGCGCGCTCCAGGAGTACCTCAAGGAATACCACTACAAGCAGAAGGTGCGGGTTCGGCGGCTGGACACCTGCTGGAACTGAGCCCCGCACCCAGCGCCCTGCCTTTGGGCCTCTGGGCCACAGCCCAAGTACGAGGGGCTTGGGCTTGGCTCCGGGCCGATACGGGGCCGTATTGCCCGTAAACTTTCCGCCTTTACAGCAGGTTCTGGGCCCCCCCGGTGCTCTGGGACTGTCGGCCTCAGCGGGGGGGGGGCAGAACCATGTGTCCCAATTGCCGTTCCACCCACGGGGCTAGGAGGGGGAAACTTCGTTAAAGGAGCCCCTGCCCCAATCCTGGCTGGGGGGGAAGAGGCAGCCGGAGCCTCAATCAGCTGTTTTATTGAAAGGGGCCGGGCTGCTGGAATAAAGTCATGTTGCTGTGACTGTAAGAGGCCCCTGCGGTCGTGTCTCCGGGCTGTAGCAGGGATGGGGGTGCCCAGCTCTGGCCCTCAGCCCCCACCGATAGCTGGGAAAGGGGGTGGGCTGCTGCCAGATGATTTGGGGGTTCTCAGCCACACGGGAACATTGTGGCTGCAGGGCGCCCGGGGCTACAGCGCTGGGCTGTCTGCTCCGGCTAGTGGGTAGGGAGAGGCTGCCTTCGTCGGCCCTGGCTCCAGCTGGGATGAAACCCCTCAACTGAGAAAAATAGGGACAGCGGTTGGGATCTGGTGCAATGCTCAACCCTGACCCACTCCCCATCACCCCCTATTCCAGCCCTGGGCTCCATACCCCGACCTGGATTTTCACCGGAGGTTGGCCCCTCGTAAAGGGGAGCAACCCACCTGGCTCGGTTCCTTTGGAGGCCATATGGTGGGATCCCAGCTCTCCAAGAGGGGGCGGGGGGGGGGGGAAGAGACCCATTCCTTGGTCTGCTCCCACTTTGTCCCCTGCCACCGATCCCCCTGCCCTGGCCGCGCAATACAAGAGCATCCTATGTACCATTCTCTGGGCTGCATGAACGGGCATCTCGCACTGGAGTAGAGGGGTTCTTTCCCTTCCGTGTTTGCTGCTGGTGCAGCCGCTGCTGGGATCCGGTGTCCGGTTCTGGTGCCCACAATTGGAGAAAGACATTGATCAATTGGAGAGGGGTCAGAGAAGAGCCACGAGAATGATCAAAGGGTTAGCAAACCTGCCTGGTAGTGAGAGACTCCAGGAGCAGAAATGACTGAGCTCAACAAAGAGAAGGTGAAGGGGTGACCTGCCCAGGGAACGAGTATTTAATCAAGGGCTCGTCAATCCAGCAGAGGAAGGTCGAACACAACCCACTGGCTGGAAGTTGAAGCTGGACAACTTCAGACAGGAAAGGGGTCAGTTTTGAATGGTGAGAGTCATTAATCTCTGGCACAATTGAGCGAGGGTTGAGGTGGATTCTCCAACGTGGCCTGTTTTTAAAAGAAGCTGGGGTGTTTTTTTAACAGCTCTGCACTGGGAATTATTCGGGGCAGATCTCAGGCCTATTACACGGGAAGTCACCCACTAGCTGCTCACACTGGCCCCTGCCGGCCTTGGGATCTTGGTGGTCTCTGCCTGCAGGAGCCAGATCCTTCCTCCAAAGGGGTGGGAGAAAACAGACAAAACTGCCCCCTTCGTAGATTCTGAGAGGTGGCTGGGAGCAAATTCACCAGCAGCCCCCCAACCTCCATGCGTCTTTCACTCCACCACCTGCTCCCAGGCAGGGAACCAGGCCCCTTGGCAAGGGAACGATCCCAGGACTGATCTCCAGGGCAGCAAATGACTCACGGGCCAGCAGCTGGTCCATAGCCCGCCCCACCCTTGCAGCTATTGGGGTCCAGAGGATTTTGACCATGGGATTCCCAGCCTGCTCTAGGTTTGGGGAGCAGGGGTGTCTCCCCCTTCCAGAGACACCCCTTGAGTTGTTTATAAGCCTCCATTTTTCTGCACCTGGCCCGGCACCATCTCAGCTCAACTGCGGGGCCTAGAGCCACCTGGCCCTGGGGGTGTGGGGTGAGACAAGACCTGGCTTCCCCCATCTTCCTCCAGGGCAGCCCCACAATCCACCACCCGCCTTAGGGACACTTCAGACAGGAAACTGGGACCCGCTTCCAGGCAGGCAGCTATGGGGGGGAAGTTAATGACCCAGGACAGGTTTGTTCCACCTCTTTGGGGGCAGGGGGTGTGGTGGGAGCCGCAATCCAGGAATGAGGATCAGAGCCCTCACCCCAAGGTCTCTCACCCCCAGCTTCGAAAGAAGGGAGCAATGCCAAGGCAGAGCTGCGGAGAGAGGGAGAGGTGCCAGGGTGGTGTAGGACACAGGCCTGTTCCAAGACCAGCGAGTGAATTTGTGGGCAAGGGGCGAACCACTGCCCTGGTTTCCTGAAGCGCCGAGCTCTCTGCCAGCGCACTCAGGCCCCCGGGGCTAGGCTCCCACCCCCAGCCTCAAGAGTCTGCTCCAACCTGGGGAGCGGGGCCGGTTCCAGCCCCGCAGAGCCAGGCAAGGGGCAGTCCGGCCTTGCGGGGCTCGGGCCAGGTGGCGCTATGCCCAGCAGGGGTTAGTGCCTGAGCAATGGCTGGAAGGCCCAGGGAGCTGGGCACCGTGACACGTGCAAGCTGGCACAGTCCTGCCCCATGCGGCAGTACGAGCATCAGCTGGGCACGGGGGGACCCTACCGAGAAGAACCTCGAGTTGGGGCCCAGGGTTCAACACGATGCCAGCTAGGAGCCAGGCACCGAGTGCGCTGAACGGGGCTGGCCCGAGACGGCTCCCACCCCGGCAAGCAGGTGCACCGCAGCAGCAAGGGGCCCCGCTGGAGGCAGAGCTGGGATGGGGGGGTGGGGGGGGGTTAAGGCTCAGCCTAGGGGGGGTTGACAGCATGGGGGGGGGGGGAGAGCAGAGGGGTTCTGCCCAAGGACCCCTCGTTACAGCCCAGCTCCGTCAATCCCAGCCTGTTTGGCAAAAAGCAGCTGAAAGCCCCCCCATCGTTCGGCACCGACAGGCTGCGGGGGAGTCTCAAGGGCCCGTTCGTCCCCGCAGCTCAGACTACATCTACCACAATGCACCACAGAGTCCCTGCCCCAGTGCACAGTGGGAGATGTAGTTCATCCGGGAGAGTGAAAGGGGGACAGGCAGCTGCCAGAGGATGACGCCTGGGGCTAAGGGCAGGCGAGCCCCCGAAAACACAGAGCTTTCTGGCCCCACAAAGCTAAATTTTGCCTGCAAACTTTTTTTTGGGGGGGGGGGGGGAGGGGAAGAAGAGAATCACTGTTGAAAACCCCATTTTCTGCCCCAAGACAGTTTGGACGAAGCAGCCCAGAGTAGGGGGACACAGCAGAGGACCTTGGCAACTGCTACTGCAGAGACAAAACCGCTCAGGATCACGGAGAGGAGAAAAAAAGCCACCGTCAGGCCTCACACATGAGCAGAGATGCTGCCGTCCCAGGCTCTCCTCTCGGGAAGCCAAGCCAGTCCCCAGCGGTGCCCAGAGCAACAGCCTCTGGCACAAGGGGGGCAGGCCCCGAGGTGGGGGAGACGCTAAAGGCCAGGCACAGCAGACAGGATTCACCTAAACAGCTGGGTCCCTCCTACCGCTCCCCCGGCGCTTGCCCTGCACAGGGAAGGAACAAAATACAATCAGTGCCCTGCCCTCCCCGCTAGCGAAGGCCTCAAAATCTTGGTCTTAAAAAGACCTGATGGTGCCCAGATCTCCAGCCCAGAGTGCTCCAGGCGTTTAAGTGGTGAACCACAGCTCACCAGCGCTCTAACCACTGGGACCAGCTGTCCCACCCTGGCTCTTACCTTTGTAAAGAAATACTCCCCCCCCGCGAACCCCCCCCAACAAATCAAGAATAAAAAGCAGGGTTACAAAATAAGTACAACTTTATCAGAGAGGGTTTGGGGGTGTTTCCACGGGGTGGTCTCGTACTTGGTTCAGGGGCAGGTTCTTTCACACGGTCAGACAGCGAGAGGCAGGGGCGCAGCGAGACAAAGCCAGCGAACACGGGCTGCCGGGTTTGGTTTTTTGGTTTTTGTTTTTTTTTTTTGTAAAATTTTTTTTTTCCGTTTTGTTTTTTAATAACGTATTCATGGTTACCAGCCATAGTCATAACAAAAGTTATTCATAATAAAATGTATCTAAAATAACATTTCTATCTGAAACAGGAACCTTGTCTCTACTGTAGAAATAGATCGGGGAGGGGGGGTTTGCCCCAGTTGGGGGTGGGGTTGTTTTTTGTACACACTACTATGCGGTATATACTTTGGAAAGGCCTTTAACATTTAAACAGGTAGAAGGGGGAAATTTCTTTTGTACCAGTGGGAGGGGCTCAGCCTGTGGGGCTCATCTACTTTGGGGCATGCGTCTCCCCCCACGCTGTAGAGAGATCCGGGGAGACAAGGGACTTTTTGTCCCAGGGCATCTTTCTGGAAAGAGACAAACTTGTACCGAGGTCTGGGCAGGACCCTGCTCCCCTCTCCCCCCAAAATAAATCCATGGGGCTCTCACGAAGCCCAGTCCTCCCCCAGATTCTCCCCTGCCCCCCCCTCAAAGCCCTGGTGTGAACTTCACCCCAGAGTCCCCTCCGCTGCCCCTGAACGCCTGAGGATACCACAAGCCTCGGGGTGACCCCGGTTCTCCGCTGGACGTGGCCCTTTTCACCAGTGCCGCTCCCCTGTTGAAACAGCATTATCTGCGCCCGCCGTTGCCCGGGTATCATTGTCGGCGCAAGGTGGTGGAGAAACAGGGGCCCCTTCCCCTAAGCACAGCCAGGCCCGCACCCTTCGGCGCCTCATGGGAGCAGAGCTCGGGGAAGGGAACATTTGGAAGGTTTTAAATCTATTTGTTTTTTAAAAATGAGCGGCAAATCAGAAGGAGAAAAAAAAAAAAGTTAATCCAATCAAAAGGGGGGGTTGGGATGGGTAAAAGCCACACCCCCTGCCCACAGGCTCCTCCCACCCCCCCAGCCCATGTAGTGTTTTTTGTTTTACACACATGCACACGCACACACAAAGCTTGGGGCTTAGGGGAGGGCTCGCTCCTGCCTAATGCCCTGCCCCTGCCCCCCCGAGCTCAGCAGGGCTCAATCCTCATCTCCCCTCACACCCCATCAAGGCATCTAAGGAACAGCTCTGTCCCCGCTGCCCCCCAAACCCAGCGGTGTGTGTGTGTCTTCCAGACCACCCCAAAGGGGCTTGCAAACAACCCCCTGCTTCACAGCCCTTTCTCAGTCCCCGGCAAGTTCATAAGCATCGTGAGCGCCCCGCACTGTCCTGTGCGGCCCCCGGCCAGGAAGGGGTGCTCTAACCCGGCTGCCCGAGCTCAGTCTGACGGCGCTGCCCACACAGACGAGCTCCGGGCAGGGAGAGGCGACCCACATGCAGAGCCCAACAGGGGGGAGCCGCCAATTCATCCAGGCGGGTCTGCCCTGTGCGGGCACAGCCTTCCCAGCCTATGCTAGAGGCACACACACCGGTGGGGGGGGGAGGGCAGACACCCCCCCCCCCCACCTATCAACCGAGCTGACCCTCGAGGGCCCCAGATGCAGCCAAACCAAACACCCACCAACCTTCTAATGCTTCAATCATGTAACCCTTATAATTCCCACGGGGGTGGGGGGGGTGGGGGGGGAGAGGGGAATACACCCCAGGAGAAGACGCCCAAAGGGTTAAATACCCTCCAATGCTCCAACCCCTCCCTCCCAGGTATCCCCATCACCCCCTACCCCCTCTCTTCAGCCCCAACCCAACACCCCTTCTCTGGGGCGTGGCTTCTTTCCCTGAATCCACCACTTGCCCTATGGGGGAGGGCATGGACCCCTCAAAGGCCACACCCCCAGCCACCCTCTTATGGGGGAGGACATGGCCCTCCTTCAAAGGCCACGCCCCCAAGTAGTCACAGGGGTGGGGTGGGGAGTTACAGGCACTTAATAACAGTTCCAGAAGAGTTCTTGGCCCCATCTGTGGAGGTGTTTCTCCCCAGCCCGCCCCCCATCGCAGGGATCAGGTGCGAAAAGCAGGCAGGAGGCGAACCCGGAAGAAACCAGCTCGCCAGGTTAGCCCCCCTGGTGCCTTTCGTGGCAACCAGCATCGGCCCAGAGCAGCCGGCCTGCCCCGGGGGGGTGGGGAGGAAAGTGAATCAGATGCGCTGTATCCCCCCCTTCTCCACTACTCCCTCTCAGGAGCGTTTTTCCCCATGCTGAGAAAGGATGGGTGGGGGGGGGGGGGAAGAGGGGGCGGGAGGACACACACACATGCGTGACCCAAGATCCTGCTGCTTCTGGCTTCGTTACCCTGGGAGTTACAGGATGCAGCTCAGTATTAAACCATAGTTAAAGTAATAATAAAGTAGAAAAATATTAGAACATATAAGATGGTAAGATTGTAGTGAGAGCTTCTTCCAACCCCCGCGCCGTGACGGAGCTGATGGCAAACGCCGGGGGAGGGCAGGAGGGGGGTGGGGTGGAAGATTCAACCACCCCTTTAAGCACCCCCCCCAAAAAAAAATAAAAATAAAGAGAACCCCCTAAAGCTTCTCAGGAACCACGGATCCCCGAGGCTGGTCAGATGGTGGAGGTCTTGTCGGTGCCATCTGTTAGGAGAGAAAACAGGACCAGAGTGTGTTGAGTGTCGAGGCGGAAGGGGACGAGTCATCGTCCTGTGGCCAAGTTCGGGGCAAGGGCATTCATAAGGGGCCAGTGATTCCGCGTGCCTGGCGGCAGCTCCACTCACAACACAGAGACACCAGGAATTTGCTGAGCCCCCCAAACGCCAAGAGTAGCGGGAGGTCTTGGCCCAGGGTTTTGCTGCCGACTACGCCAGCTATGTGCTGGGTTCTGTCACAGGAGCCCCATTGCAGACAAGGTCACTGCTAGATACATGCGCCCCATGCGTCTGGCTGCGATCTAGGGCTGTGAGAGCATCGCCCACCCTGGGACGGGGGTCAAGGGGAGGGATCGGGCCCCATCTCAGTCTCCCGGGGACCTGCTGGCTTGTAACCCCCTTGAACACCCTCCCATCCCCGGGCGGACCCTGCGTCTCACCGCCCAGCGCGTGCTCCGTCATGCTCAGGCACAGCGACTCCAGCGTGGGGTTGATCTCCAGGTCTGTTCCAGGGATCTGGCAATCTAGAGAGGGGGGCCGGAGGAACGGGATTAGCCATGTGGCCCCCACACTCTCTGATGGGCAATGGAAACTGGATTCATGCAGCACTCATGACCGCCCTGGCCCACCCAGCAAGGTGGCAGCTTTGAGCCTCATTCCGTTATTAACCCCTGCGCTGCCAACTTCTCCACTGAAAAATGGTCAGTGATGGAGAATCCAGTAATTGGGCTGGGAATAGAACCCAGGAGTCCTGGGTTCCAGCTCCCACTGCACCCCACTCCCCTCCCAGAACCAGGGATAGAACCCAGGAGTCCTGGTTCCCAGACTCCACTGCTCTAACCCACTAGACCCCACGCCCCTCCCAGAACCAGGAATAGAACCCAGGAGTCCTGACTTGCAGCAGATGGACGCTACTTGCCAACACGTGCAGCCTGCTCTGGGGAGGAGCATGGCAGGCTTACACCCCACAGCCAGAGAGGAGGAGGAGGAGAGCGAGTTTGCAGCAGATGGCCTCCTGCGGACCTGAGCTGGGCAGAACAGTCTCTCCAAGAACATCTCCTGTCTTGAGTCTGCCAAGGGCTGGTACCAGAAGGAGAGCGACCAGGCTACTCACCCTGGGGGAACATGATGATGGCCTGCGGGGACGTGTGGACGGGTAGCGAATGGGTGCGCTGGACCGAGCTGCGGCTCTGGCCGGGCATGCTGTTGCTGCCCCCGGGATTGGCGAACCACAGGTTCTGCGGCGAGAGGGGAAGACGGGCTAGATGATGCAGGAGCCTGGCACAGAATAGCTGGCTCCCCCAGGCTCACCCGCGCCAGCCTGGCACACGGGGGATCCGGAGACAACGTTCCATAGCAGCAAAGGATTGGGGCGGCTCCGAGTCACGCTCCCCTGGAAGGAACAGCGGGCTGACGCCACGCTGGGACAGGGGGCTGGCCTCCCGCGTCAGAGCGAGTCACAAGGCCCTTCTGCAAAAGGGGGAAGGCCCTGGTGCCCCCCAGGGGCGGGGAGGTGACACTGCAAGGGGAGAGCCCAGCTTGATTCTGCAATCCCAGGGCCGTCAGAGAGAACCCCGCTTTTCAACCTCACAGAGCAGCTCTTAACCCTCCCTCCTCCAAACAGGGAGCTCCACCAGGCCATTTAGAGAGCAGAAATTCATTTTAAAAAGGGGGGCCCCCATCAATTTATCCTGCTCTAGCCATTAGATCCCACTCCTTTCCTACAGCCAGGAATGGGGCTCAGAAGTCCCCCCGCCTGCCCTGCTCTAATCACTAGCACTGGGGATAGAACCCAGGAGTCCTGGCTCCCAGTTCCATCTAGGATACCTATCTGGCTTCTGTCACAGTAATACACAAGCACCTCACAATCTAACATATTTGTCCTCAAATGTCCCCTAGCAGGCAGGGCAGATCAATTAACCCCATAATAACATGGAGAAACTGAGGCACAGAGAGACTATGATGGAGAATCTAATGGCTGGTCTGAGAACAGAACCCGGAAGTCCTGACTCCCAGCCCCCTTGCTCTAACCACTAGACCCTACTCCCCTCCCAGAGCTTGGGATTGAACCCAGGAGTCCTGGCTCCCAGCCCTCCGCAGTGGGCCCCACTCCCTTCCCAGCCCTGTGTTCACAGAACTACACGTCTCTCTACAACCTGCTGACCTATACCGACGAGCCCTTCTAGATTGGTACACACTGCTCCCATTCATTGTAAAATCCCCTTTGGCTCGGCTGCGGCTTCAGCCAGAGCCACGGGGAGTCTGGTTCGAGAAACCGGCCCACGCCCGCGGCTAGAGCGACACCACCCGCCCTGCCAGACTCACCTGTCGTCCCTGGCTCCCGATGGGGCTGGTAAGTGCATGCCGAGGCAAGACCCCTCCCATCCCCGCTGGGCTCAGCAGCCCCAGGCGGCTCGGGGGCATGGCTCGAGGGGGCATCTGGAACGGCCGCTGCCCTCTGCGCGCGACACCCACCCCCACAGATCCAGCTATGGGGAGAGAGTTGGAACCAAAGGCCCATCTAGGGGAGGGGAGAAGGTGAAAAAAATAAAGGCCTGTTTTCAAGTCACCAGAGATTCTAGCTACTTGCAGCATCCCTTGGGATCGACCCCGAAACACCCCCACACACACACAAAATTTCACATGGGACAGGTATTTGAAGCCCCTCCTCCTCCAGCAGCCCACACACCTTAGTGTCTCGGGGCGTTAGACACACCTGGGCCAAGTGATATGTGACGTGTGGCGGGCGGGGGAGCACTAGAGAAGCCTAGAGGATGGGACTGGTTTTCAGATGGTGCTTAGCACCCTCCCACCCTTGTGAAAACAAAGGTCCTTTAATGGCATCTCAAGTGGCCTACCCCACCTGCCACTTGAAAATCTGGCCTCCGCAGAGACAGATTGCCCCTTCGAACCGGGCTTTACCCCTCTCCGCTCCCCCCAGGAGGAGAGGCACAAACTAAACGGGCTTCCCCTGGTTGCAGCCGACGTGGGGATGGATTCCAGCTGGCTACTAGCGGTCAAAAGCATCCCAGCTCCCAGACACAGGAACAGGAAGAGAGCTGGGGACGGCTGACAGGTGACCCAAGCTGCTCAGCCTGCACTGGCGGGCAGCGCAGAGCTGGGCTTCGAAACGCACATGAGCCAGCCATGCCCGCTAGGATTTGTGACCCGCCCGCCCCACAACCCAGCCAGCCCTGTCGGTCATCCCATTCCCTGGGCTCATCAGGGGAAGGCTTCAGAGCTGGAGCATGTGGGATTTCGTAACGCAATCGTGTTGTTTCTGGGCCCCTGGGAGCGACCAGCCAGCTTCCCAGCCCCCTCAGAGGCGGGGAAGGGCTGGAATTGCGACAAGGAGCGACCTGCCCATAGCTATGACCCCAGAGAGCTGGGAATAGAACCCAGGAGTCCCAACTCCTAGTCCCCGTCCATGCTCTAACTGCTAGGTCCCGCTGCCTCCCTTCCACAGCCATAAATCCTAGTGATCTAAGAGCCAAGTGACTCCAGGCACTGCTGGGACACCCCCACCCCCAATTTATTTATTGGTTGCACCTAGCAACTGCTATTGGGGCCCCATTGTGCTGGGTGCTGCCCAGACAGGCCCTGTTCTGAAGAGCTTAGTCTAAATAGACAGGGTGGAGGGGAAACTGAGGCAGCCTAAGTCACACATCAAGGCAAGAGCTGGGACCAGAACCCAGGTCCCGGAGAGCCTGATCCACTGGGCCATACTGTCTAGCCACCCAGGGGGTGTTATTCAGCACTGTCCCCACTCTGCCCCATACTCCCAGCCTTCATGCTTTCTACAGCTGAGCCCTGAAACCTCGCCACGCCTACCCTTTCTGCTGGCGGTACCCTTGCATGTCGAGCACTGCCTTCCGAGGGAACGCCCGAAGCAGCTTCAGCACCTGCTGCTTCCAGGACAACAGCCTCTTCTTCTGCGTCTCCGTGAATGCCTGCGGCACACAGGGACAGTGCAGTCAGGACGCCGGGCTGGCGCCAGGCCGTAGGAAGGGGGCGGGAGCAGCTGTGGGTAGGAGGGGCACAGAACGGGGGGCACTTTGCTACAGAGAGGGGAGGAAATGGAGGGATTCGAGCACACACCCAGCCCAAAGCAGATGTGTGTGTGGAGGTGCGGGGGTGGGAAAAAGGCCCTTAAATGACCTGCCTGGATCAGTTCAACAGCCCTGGGGCCTGGCCTGCTGGGCACGGCAGAGCAGAACCCCGGAGTCCTGAGGGGACCCAGCAGCCCCCGCCCCTGGACCAGAGGGAGGTTTCCATGCAGACGATACCTCGTGAGTCAGGCACTTCTCTATGAGCTGGAGGTAACTGGTGATGTTCTCCTCATCAGGCCGGGAGACGAGCAGCTGTGTGCACACTGCGAGGAGAGCAGAGGGGTTACTCCCCGGGCCCTTCCAGAGCATCTCCCCTCCTCCCCACCCCCCGGACGTTCAGCATCATGCCCCCTGGAGGTGGGTCGGCAGAGGGGGATGCTGCAGCACACACGAAAAGGGACTCGCCCAAGGACAAGCGGTGAACAAGCAGCAGGGCTGGAAAGAACCCAGGAGTCCTGCCAGTCCCACCATTGCTCTAACCACTCAGTCCCCACTCCAAAACTGTCGGTGTAGAGGTGTAAGGAGGCAAACCCAGGGGATAGGGTGAGCTTTTTCGCCCACCTGCCCTGTTCTCTGGGTGCTTAATTTTCGAATCGCGGGAGAGCAACAGGTGCAAGACAACCAGAGTTTTGGAAAGCGTAGGGGCATTCGGCGAGTGCTCGAAGCCAACAGGGTGACCGCCAAACGGGTAGAATTAGGGGGGAAGCAAAAGGTGGACGGGCGGCCGTTGGTTAGTTCAGTCCGACACAGGGAAGAAGGTAAGCGCCATACGGACCCGGACTTCAGAAAGCGCTCGACCCCCAGGGAACGAGCCAGGATCCCGGGGGACAACGAAGGGGAAGGAGTCCAGGAGAGCTGGCGTTTTCAAGGAACCCGTTGAGGTTACAGGGACAAACCACCCGAGAGTCGAAAGAAAGTAAATATGGCAGGCGACCACGGCTTAATGGTGAAATCTTACGGATCTTAAACATAAAAAGAAGCTTACAAGAAGTGGAAGGTTGGACATATGACCAGGGAAGAGTATAAAAATATTGCTAGGGCAGTAGGAAGTTATCAGGAGGGCCAAACCACCGGAGCGCACACCAGAGATGTCAAGAGTAACAAGAAGGGTTTCTTCAGGTATGTTGGCAACAAGAAGAAAGCCAAGGAATGTGTGGGCCCCTTACTGAATGAGGGAGGCAAACTAGTGACAGAGGATGTGGAAAAAGCTAATGTACTCAATGCTTTTTTGCCTCTGTTTTCACTAACAAGTCGTCCAATGCTACCAGGGGGCGCCTCGGAGTAGAGGTGGTTAGGGACTTAGAAAGCGAGTCCGGGCGGGGCAGGGCAAGGAACGTGTTGCAGGCCCTTATCTTTGAAATGGCAAAAGTCGATACAAAAAGCTAAGTCTTAAAAAGAAGGGTGAAACCTCGCCCACAGTCCCTAAAACAGGAGCGTCCTCAAAAATCAATCCTGAAGACAGAGGGAAGGACAGAAAGCCGGTCACCAAGGAAGTCAGTGACTAATCTAATCCTTCTATGATGAGATTACTGTTCTGTGGATGAAGGAAGCAATGGATGTATTGTTTCTTGACTTTAGAAGCTTTGACACAGTCCCACAGTATTCGCACAAGTGAGGAAGTATGGGCTGATGAACACTACAAGGTGGGTAGAAGCCTAGATTGTCGGGCTCAACGGGTAGTGATCAATGGCTCCATGTCTAGTTGGCAGCGGTATCAAGTGGAGTGCCCCAAGGGGTCCTGGGGCCGTTTTGTTCAATATCTTCATAAATGATCTGGAGGATGGTGTGGATTGCATCTCAGCAAATTTGGATGATACTAAACGGGAGGAGTGGTAGATACACTGGAGGGGAGGGATAGGATACAGAAGGATCTAGAAAATTGGAGGATGGAAAGAAATCTATGAGGTTCAATAAGGATAAGTGCAGGTCCTGCACTTAGACGAGAAATGACAGAAGACTAGGGAATGGCTAGCAGAGTTCTGGGAAAAGGACCTAGGGGTGACAGGGAGAGCTGGAATGAGTGCAGTGTGCCCTTGTTGCCAAGAAGGCCAATGGCATTTTGGGATTATAAGTAGGGGCAGAGCAGATCGAGGGCGTGATCGTTCCCCTCTATTCGACATTGGTGAGGCCTCATCTGGAGTACTGTGTCCAGTTTTGGCCCCACACTTCAAGAAGGATGTGGATAATTTGGAGAGAGCAGAAGGAAAAATGATTAGGGGTCTGGAAATATGAGTTATGAGGAGAGGCTGAGGGAGCTGGGATTGTTTAGCCTGCAGAAGAGAAGAATGAGGGGGATTTGATAGCTGTTTTCAACTACCTGAAAGGGGTTCCAAAGAGGATGGCTCTAGATGTTCTCAATGGTATCAGATGAAGAACGAGGAGTAATGGTCTCAAGTTACAGTGGGGGAGGTTTAGATTGGATATTAGGAAAACTTTTTCACTATGAGGGTGGTGAAACACTGGAATGCGTTACCTAGGGAGGTGGTAGAATCTCCTTCCTTAGAGGTTTTTAAGGTCAGGCTTGACAAAGCCCTGGCTGGGATGATTTAACTGGGAATTGGTCCTGCTTTGAGCAGGGGGTTGGACTAGATGACCTTCTGGGGTCCCTTCCAACCCTTATATTCTATGATTCCCTGCCCCAGCCAGGAATAGAACCCAGGAGTCCCAACTCCCAAGCCCCCCGCTGCTTTCACCACTAGACCCCACTCCCCACCCACAACTGGAATAGAACCCAGGTCCAGGTCCCCCTGCTCTAACCACTAGACCCCACCTCCCTCCCCCAGCCAGGAATAGAACCCAGGATTCCTGACCACCCACACCTGGAGTCAGGAAGAGAACCCAGGTGTCCTGTGCCTAACACACACAGCCAACCTTCCTCAAACCCAGGCGTCCTGTGCCCAGCTCCCGCCCCCTCCCCCAACAGATGAGATAAGTCATCCAGCTTCCCGGCCCCGCCAAGTGGGAGTCAGTGGGACCCATCCACCTGAAACAGGGCTGGAGACATCAGTCAGCCCCAGCCACACATGCCAACTTGAGGGCATGCCCCCAAATCTGTACCGCCCCTATCTGGGAGAGAAGCACCAGCGTTCCCTCTAGCATCCCGGGACCCCCACAATGATGAGCTCCCTGAATGCCACTGCGGGAGAGGAAGCGCCTTCCGGACCAGACGCCCTTACCTTTCCCCATCACCCGGGTGAACTGCCCCGGGATGTCCCCTTCCGCGATGGGTGCTGTGGCCGACTCCCCGTCGCAGGGGGAGGCCGTCTGGGATGGGAAGCCGTCCACCACAGGCTCCTTGTCCTCTGCCCCATTGGTGGCTTTGTCCAGGCCCGGCCTGGGGGCTCCGTGGCGCTCGGGCACCGCCTGCTGCCCCTCCTTGGGCGTGGGCATGGCCTGGAGGGAGCTGTATGCTTTGATGGGCGTGATGATTATCTGCTGGAGCTCCTGGAGCGCGTTCCACAGGTTCCCTCCTTCAAGGATGTCCTGCGCGGGGGCCAGGGAAAGGGGGCGGGGAAGATGCCATGAAAAATTAAGGGCAGCTCCACATCTCAAAAAGGACCAAGGGGCTCAGTGGTCCAAGCATCAGGACCATGGGTTCGAGTCCCAGCAGCAGAAAGAGTTGTAGGTAATTTAGGACTTGCAGCCACAAGATCCTGTCTGCCCTGCACGGCACCTGTCCAGAGATCTTGGGTTTTAACCCCAGCAGCCTCGAAGCAAACTCCCCCAGCTGCTGTGCCGTGAACCAGGGGAATAGCCCCTTTCCGCATTGGAGATCAAATCAGTGCGCAGCCCCATGCCCGCTCCCCTCCCGGTGCTCCTGGTTATCCAGGCTTCCAGCTGGTTTCACAGCCAGGGGCACTCCTGGAGCTATGGGAATGCTGGCTAATGCAGAGCCTTTCACCAGTGCAAACCAGCAGTGCCACCCACTACATGAATTCCGGTAGCACCTAGAGGCCCTGACCAAGATCAGGGCTGTGCCCCCCACCCCCCTTTGCACCAGGTGCTGTGCAGGCCCCGAGCGAGAGGCACAGATCCCAAGAAGCTCACAGCCTAAGCAAGGGCTGCAATCCTCATTTTACAGATGAGAGATTCGAGGGGCCTAAAGAAGAGTCAGGAATCAACCCCGGGTCCCAGCTGGGTGCCTTGACCCTGAGGCCTCCAGTTCAGAGCTCGCAGGGGAAGCCAGTGGGTCTTTTACCTTCTCCAGAGACTTGAGAACGCTCTGCCTCTCCCGCAGCTTCTGGATGCTCAGGGCAATTTTGTGCCTGGCTCCTTTGGTCACGTTCTGTGCAGGAAGGAAGACATGTGGGAGTGGAGGCGACAGCCACAGATGCAGCCACCCCCGCCCCTGACAGACTCAGAGACATGCCCTGGGAACAGGTCCCAGCCACAGGTGCCCCCTGGGTGCCACGCAGCCCGAAAGGAACTCGGGGCTCTTCCAGCCATTCCCCCCATGGGTAGGTGGGAATTTCAGGCTCAAGGTATCCAGAGAAGCTCCTGGAATTTAGCAATCAGATCAAATCAGGAGCGAAGTGAAACCTCCAGTGGCGTCTCACCTGCCTGGGCCAGGAGCTATGGGAACGGTGGTAGGTGCCCATGCGTTTATGCAGTCCTGAGAGCTCTCTTCCAGCTCGGGGGTGCAGGAGTGGCCCCCTAAGTCTGTGGAAGACCCATGTCCTACAACACCACAGTCCCCCCGTCCCCTGGCTGGGACCCACAAGGTGGCTGTTGCCCTCAAGAAGCGCACGGTCGAGTGGAGGCTGGGACCCTGCTGTCCCCTCCTCACCTGGGACTCCAGATGCTGCTCCGTGAGGGTCATCATCTCTTCGTACGTCATCTGGGAGAAGAGGGCTGCGTACTTGTGCAGGCGAAGGCTCTTCAGCCACGAGGGGACATCTGTGGAGATGGGAAAGACCAGCCCTTTAGAGCGACCTAGGCTGCCAGCACTGGCCAGGCCTGGGAAAGCTTCCGCGGCCACAGGATGGCGACAGCTCCCGGGACCGCCGGCATTACGTACCAGTCACTTTGGGGCTCCCCAGACCCAGAGGAGCATACCCCTTTCAAGGCAGGGCCTTCTCAGGTGATAAGGGGTGTGTGTGAGAGAGAGGGTATGTGAAGGGCATTCACATGTGTGTGTGTGTGTGGGGGGAACGAGATTACAGACCATGGCTAGCTGATACCCACAGCAAGATTCCCATCATTAGAGCTCTGAAAATCCATGGATATCCGCTTCATATCCGTGGGCCATTTTTGCAGATAGTGGACCGGATGCAGATACAACCACGCAGGGAGCTCTACTCACTGGTGGCACCTGGCTGGGAGGAGGGGGAGGGGGGCCGTCCAGCACCCGCTCGCCACGTCACTTCCTGTCCAGCAGCTCGGGCCCCTCGGGCAGAGCCAGCATCCCCACCATGGCCTGGCCCAGCAGCACTGGCCACGCTCCCAGTCCCAGCCCGCCGGCTCCTGGGATTGGACCCAGTGCCCAACCCCTCCCCCTAACTGTGATGCAACATACACCGCTGCTGCCACGTGCCGTTGCTTGTGAGCCCCTGGGAGCAGCACGCGATGTGACCCCCAACTTCCCCTCTGCACCGCCCCTTCTCCTTGAGACCCCTCCCCCTCCCTTGCTAGAGGGCTTGCTGCTGCAGGTGTGGATACAGGTGAAAGATGGCTAGCGGATCATGGGTTGATCCTGGCAGATGCAGATCCACATTTTTGTATCCGCGCAGGGCTCTACCCGTCACGGAGATAGGAAAGGCTGATCCCCCTTGCTCACCGCTGCCCTTGTCCCCTCCAGCCCCTGGCCAAGCAGCCCTGGTCAAATCGCTGGAAGCCCCCTGGTTACGGCTGCACAGACAGGGGTCTGATCCAGTATGGGAGCCCTGCGTTCCCAATGTCGGCCGGCAGAGTGAGGCAGTCGGGGTTCCCTCCCCAGCACGGGGTTCCCTACCCAGCATGGGGTGACCCCCCTCCCACGCCGTACCTTTCATGCCACTGCCATCCTCCTGGAAGGTGTTGCGGCTGCCGATCTGCTCTTCCGTCTGTTCGCTGCCCGAGGAGGCCACGCTGCTCTGGGGGGACAGGGGCGCGTGGTCCCCCGGGATGAAAGCCTGCCGGGCACACAGCTCATCGGGGCTCATCCACTCGCCAGGGGCCTGCGGGCTGGTGGGGATGAGGGACATGGAGCGCTTGAGCGGGCTGGGGTGGATTTGGCAGGGCAGAGCTGGAAGGGGAAGGCAGAGAATTAACATAGAATCATAGAATATCAGGGTTGGAAGGGACCTCAGGAGGTATCTAGTCCAACTCCCTGCTCAAAAGCAGGACCAATCCCCAATTAAATCATCCCAGCCAGGGCTTTGTCAAGCCTGACCTTAAAAACTTTTAAGGAAGGAGATTCTACCACCTCCCTAGGTAACGCATTCCAGTGTTTCACCACCCTCCTAGTGAAAAAGTTTTTCCTAATATCCAACCTAAACCTCCCCCACTGCAACTTGAGACCATTACTCCTCGTTCTGTCATCTGCTACCACTGAGAATAGTCTAGAACCATCCTCTCTGGAACCACCTCTCAGGTAGTTGAAAGCAGCTATCAAATCCCCCCTCATTCTTCTCTTCTGCAGACTAAACAATCCCAGTTCCTGACAACATTGGGACTGGATCTCCTATCCTACAGGCCTACCAGGGAGGATGAGCGTGGCGCGGAGAGATCAGACACCTACACCTCAGGGCAGCCAATGCCTCACGGCCTTGCGCTCAGAAAGTCCTTCTTAGCCAGGCTCCTGCTCTCTATATTCAGGATACAGCCCCAGAATGGGCCCTGCCCCCCCCCCCAGAGCCACTTGAGCAGAATTCTCTACACGGCTATGGTGCATTTCATCCAAGGCTCTTGATGCAACTGAGAAGCAGGAGTCAGGACCCCTCCCCGGGAAGTGGCCTGCTCCAGGGCATGCAGAGGATCGACAGCACAACTGAGAACCAAACCCACACCTATCGGGGGGAACTAAAGTGACCACACTCTCTTTGCCAGTCACCCGTGCAGAGGGACGAACAGCAGAAAATGGCTTAGGAGGGTCAATCTGGGCAGGGGGGTTGCATCCGGACTAGGGTGACCAGACAGCAAATATGAAAAAAATCGAGAGGGGGGTGGGGGTGGGGTAGGAGCCTATATAAGAAAAAGACCCCAAAATCGGGACATCTGGTCACCCTAATCTGGACTGACCTGGCATCTGCACTGCTAGGTGCTCTGTCTGCTTCCACAGCATCGTGAAGCAGCCGGGGAGCAGTTCAACCCCCGTCTTGGCTCCCTGCTGTATTTGGAGGCAGTGAAAGGAGGCAGGTATCCTCCACCCCCAGCCACCGCTCTCTCCCGCTCCCTTGCCACGGATCTCCCACTATCCCGAGTGCCCCTGTGGGGGCTGCCAAGGAGCTAGCCAACACCAAGCAGGGGGATGGCAGATGAGCAAGGCAGAGCCCAGTTCGGCCAAGGGACCCAGGTTGTAAGTTACGGCCAGGGCGGTGAAGCAGGTGTGAGGTCTAATCGCCGCTCTGGGATGCAGCTGGTTTTTCCCCTGAAGTCTACAAACCCTGGGCACACCCTCAGAGGTGTTAAAGGGGACGCTGGTAAGTCAAACTCCGTTTTGATTCGTGTTGTTCCTGTTTCTGTGCGAAGAGAACATACGTTTTCTCCCCTCCTACTCCCCGCACAGACACTGGACAGCTGGGGGCTGCAGGGAGGGAAATCCACCTGGAACCGCCCCAATGGGAGGAAGAGGAGACTAAAGGGAAGGAAAAAGCGTCTGAAGGGACGAGTAAATCTGATTAGCTTTAATAATCATTCCTGTTTCTTTAATAGAATTAGAGGCAGTTATTGTGTGTGTGTGTGTGTGTGGGGGGGGGGGTGTCAGTAGGTCACCTCCGAAACTGACACCCGCAGCCGCCCATCTTGACACTTCCCTGACCATCTTCAATCTTCATGTACCTTGCCAGTCCCTGTGGCATCTGTACGTACGTGTAAGCACACCCCCAGCTGCCACGGCACGTAGGACTCCAAGCACTTCAGATGCCCAAAGCACTGTGCAAACATTAACTAATGCCCCTTGGGATGGAAGGGCAACCAATATTATCAGCCCCATTTTATAGATGGGGAAACTGAGACACTGGGCACTGACATGCCAAGCCCTGCCTCCTCCATTGTCAGAGCTTAGATTTGATCTGTCATCATCCCCCCTTCCTGGGCACACTCCCACGCCTCCAACCCCCCTGCTGCTTGGGCCTCAAAATATTTTCTTCTGGGGCCTATCAGAAAGCAGGCGCGGACTCTGAGGAGGAAGCATGGCTCAGCTGATAGGGACTCAGAACTCCTGGGTTCTGTTCCCATCTCTCCTGCTGACTAGCCACAGGCAAGTGGCTTTACCCACTCTGTGCCTCAGTTTCCCCAGCTGCATCTCTGTCGAGTATTTTGAGCTCTACAGAAGGCAGCCATGAGAATGATTAGAAAACATGCCTTAGAGAGAGACTCAAGGAACTCAGTCTACACAGTGTAAGGAAAAGGTTAAGAGATGACTTGATCCCAGATTAAGTACCTACATGGGGAACAAATATTTGATCATGGGCTCTTCAAGCTAGCAGACTGGAAATAAGGTTACATTGGCCTCTAAGCTCCTACCTACTGCCCACGCCCCATCCTGTCCCCTCCCCGCCATGTACCTGCATTTGCGTTGCTTCCAATGCTGTTGATGGCAGAGGGCACCGAGCTGGAGGAGTGGAAAGGCAAGTGTCCGTTTTCTCGGGGCAGCTTCTCCTGCCAGCCGTGTCCCAGCTCCCCCATGCCCGAGTCCACCGGGCCCTGCCACTCATCCGAGCCCTGGCGCGAGTGGTATGCAGTGTCGGGCCGGCCCCTGCCCTGGCCGGAGTAGCCGCTAGACAGGCGTTCCTCAAGGTGGTTGAGCCATAGGGCCAGGGAGTTGCGATCGTCCAGCGTGGTGGCCGGGTGGATGAGGGCGTAGGACAGCAGCTGCCGGCTTTCCTCGATGAACAGGTTGCTCTCGATGGAGTAGGCCAGGACCTTCTGCAATAGCTTCATGTATTCGGACTTGGCTTCCGTGTTGCCAGGCTGTAGCAGGGGCAGGTGAGACAGGAGCAGGGAGACCACCTTGTCCTTCGATTCCTGGTGCCACTGGCTGATGACAGCTGTTTGGGGGAGAGGGGCAGAGAAGGGTGAAGAACAGGAACAAAAGGGAGCCTGCTCCTTCCTCCAGTGGCTTTCACCACAGAGAAATCAATGCAGCCAATTCTGGGGAGGAACAAGACAGCTGGTGAAGGAGTGTGTAGGAACACTCGCAACAGCTTCAGGCAGGGAGATTTGTATCCTACCGAAAGCCACAGTGTGGCATCACCAAGGGGGCTTACCAGAGCCAGATACCTGGAATGATGCCCCGACCCCAGACACGGTGATCTCAAGCAATCCAGGCGATCAGTCTGTGTCCCCCCACAAAATGCCACCACTTCCAGCAACAAAGAGAGCTCCACGGACTTTACAAATGGGGTCTCATTACTCCCACTTTACAGCTGGGGAAACCGAGGCACGGAGAAGGCAGCGACTTGCCCAAGGTCAGCGGCAGAGCTGGGCTCATCAGACCCTGGGTTTAAAGCCCAGTGCTCGATCCACTAGGTCAGGCCACCTCTCCCTGCTGAACTCTTCCGATTTCCTCTGCCCAGAACTAACGGGGTTTGAACTCCCTTCCCCTGCACAGCGTGCGGAACTTAAAGACAGGAATCGATTTGGGCAGGGAGGGTAAAAGAGGGCTTCAAAGGGAGAGGGCGCACCACGCTGAAGCGGACATATTTGTTACGGGCGTAAGGGGCGGGGGGGGGGGCAGTTGAGGGACGTGAGCCGTGGGAGCCTGGCAGAGAGATTTCTCAACCATGTAGGGATTAGGTAAATAACCGTACAGTTATTGGGAAATAACCAAGTGCACAGCCAACCCAGCTCAAGAAGCAAATGGCGCTGGCTGGACGAGGAGGCCAGCAGAGAGAGCATAAGGGCTTGTGAACCAGAGCAGTGTGTCCCAGCTTTCTTCCAAAGAAGGGGCGAGTCCTAGGTCCTATATCCGAGCGCCTCGAAATCTTTAGTGGGGCAGAGAAAGGCAACTGTCCACATTGCACAGATGGAGAAACTGAGGAAGGCAGCGGCAAAGTGACGTGCCCTGGGAGTTTGTGGCAGAGCTGGGAATTGAACCTAGGTCTCCAAGTCCTAGGTTAGTGCCTAACCACTGGACTGTCCTTCCTTGCCTTTGCCAGCTACCCCACACTCAGTGGGCAGTGGAATAAAATCCTAAACATTTGATATCGGTTCAGGGAGGATCAGAGTCATAGTTTGAACCATAGGCGCTGGATCACCCATGGGAAAAAAAACAAACAAACAGTGGGTGCTAAGCACCCACCGGCAACCCCAACAATCAGTTTATCCCCCTACCCCCTACCCCCCCCAGGGCTCCTGCCAGCCGTGATCAGCTGTTCAGTGGTGTGCAGGAAGCGCGGGGGGTGGGGGTGGGAGAGGGGAGGAGAAAGAGGCAAGGGGAGGGAGTGGGAGCAGAGCCTGGGGCAGAGCAGGGGTCAAGCAACCCCTAGGAACTCGGTGCCTCTGGTTTGAGCCCCAGGCGCAAGCAAACAAAGTCATAAGAACCATAATTAATTTCACTGGATGAAATTAACGGGCAGCAGGTTTAAAACAAACAAAAGGAAGTGGGTCTTCACGCAGCGCACAGTCAACCTGCGGAACTCATTGCCAGGGGATGTTGTAAAGGCCAAAAGAATAACTGGGTTCAAAAAAGAACTAGATACGTTCCTGGAGGATTGGTCCATTAATGGCTATTAGACAAGATGCTCAGGGACACACTCCCATGCTCCGGGTGTCCCTAAACTGCCAGAAACAGAGTGGACGACAGGGGATGGACCACTCGAAACCGCCCTGTTCTGTTCATTCCCTCTGAAGTACCTGGTGCTGGCCACTGTCAGAAGACAGGATACTGGGCTAGATGGACCCAATATGGCCGTTCTTATGTCAAATGTTGATCTCAAGCAAGACAAATTTTAAGGAAGGGGGCTTTATCTAAGGTATCCCACGCTCGAACCACCTCAGGTTTGGATCGGTCACGCTATGCCGGACCCCCATGAGGCACAGAAAGTTTCAAGACCATCCAAGTCAGTCTCCGAATTTTAGAGCTCTTTGGAAAGTCAGCTGTTCAACAGTAAGCTAGACCCAACCTTAACTCAAGCAGGTGTTACAGCCTCTTTGGAATCGCCAACTCTCAGCAGAGATGACCAAGCCCCCTCAGCCGTCAGACAGTACCACAGCGTTCCAGGACAATGGGTGTGAGGGTCTTGGGTCAGAGGAGATCCAAGGTCCCATCCACTCTGCATGGACATGAAGATCTCCTTGGTTACTTTCCGAGGGAGCAGGGGTTTGCCCTGGTTTCCTGAGCCAAAATTTCCTCTCTCACCTCCAGCTGGTCTGCCTTGCTCTCCCCCCCAGAAGCAGCTGCGTTGGAGGTGCTGTCGGCACAGTCCACGCAGCTCCAACAGAGGGGTGCCTGCAGCTCCCTCAACACTACCTCCCTGCTAATCCCAGCTCTGCTACTGACTGACTGCGTATGGACTGAGGGGTCACTTTACTGCCCTGCCTCAGTTTCCCCAACGCCACGGGGAATGCATTTGGATGCTTGCGGCTCTGGACATCTCTTCCCTGGCAGCACAGGCTGCAGAACTGGGATCTCTTGTTCTTTAATAGCGACTTTGGGAGAAATTTTCCCTGCAAAGTCAGAGCAGACAGATTCCAGCACACACCGCCACCACCGCAGGCAGATGCCCAAAGGATACAGTTACAGGCCCGGAGCAACCCATTAATTGGGGGGGGGGGGGGGGGGGGGGAAGGAGACCACAGACTGGAAGGGCGGAGTCTGCTCAGCTGCGTGCCTGTTGGATGGAAGATACCCTCTGCCAAGGGAAGCTGCAATGAGCAACACATGCAGGCTCAGCAATCTTAATTCTTTAAACCTTAGCTCCTACCCACTGTTTCCTCTTGGCCTCCTAGGGGAAGATCCTTCCCACACCTGTGGAAGGACAGGTCTGCTGCACAGAGGGGTGACCCCACAACTGCACAGGGCCCCCTTCTACTGCTCTGCACAGTGGGGACTTGTGCCGCTACTCCACTCTCGAGAGTCCCCTGCAAGGGAGACAGCGTGGGCATGACACAGGCCTGGAGGGTCAGGATGCCTGGGTTCTATTCCTACCTCTTCCACCGATTTGCTGAGAGAGCAAGGGAAAGTCACTGCCTTGCCCCGCGCCTCAGTTTCCCTATCTGTAAAGCAGGGATAACCATACGTTTGCAGGGCGCTTAAAGATCTCTGGATGAAAAGCACTGGCTCGGCCCAAGTCCTGAGTTCCCCGGAGGATGGATGGTCTGATTAACGGAACTGGAATCTATTGCCTTCATGGTTTATTTAGGGGGATCCACACATCGCCAGAGCAACTGTAGAAACAAGTACGCGTTTGACACTCCAATCTGGGCTATGACCCATTCCTGCCTGCCCCTAGCAGAGCACGCAATCTCAGCCAGGGAGCAGGAGACACACTTGGAAAGGACAGAGCGGCTACCTCAGGGGCATCTCCCATCATACACAGACAGCTATTTTTAACCTGGAAATTAAGGCTTAGGGAAAGGCTAGGCCGCAGAGGCTGAGGCCAATGATTCAGCGAGTGTCTCCCGCAAGCTGCCGACAGGCCCTGCGCAAACTTGACAAGATTTGCTTTGCCACTTCTCTGTGGGTGAGTGTGGTCCTTGGTCCCTCGATGAACAGCTGGGGGCTAAAAGGGTACCAGGCTGCACAGGGTTGGCCACGTTTCCAATCTCAAATCACCCCATGGGGGAATTCTGGAACGAGGCTGTTAAAATTCACATGCGAGCTGAAGTGTGGCACAAGCGAGAGGGGGGATTTTAGCTGAATCAAGAGCTCTTGCTTTAAAAAAAACACCGAATAGGTAGAACTTCTTTTTAAATCTAGCCTGTTCTGAGGCCCGACACATTCCGAATCTAACATTTCTTCCCAGCTGAAAAGCAACACGCTTTTTACAATTCACTCATTACTTGTTTTTAAATCAAACAGTCCTTTCAATTCAGATCATTTCCTTTTAGGAACAAAACAAGAGGCCCCTTAGATGGTTAAGTTTTACTTTGCTTTAAAAACTGGCTACCGAAGACGGGAAATGGCTAAATACTTTTGGCTGAGTGCATATTGTACGGCTGGCGTTATGTATTTAGCTTCAGCTAGATGGAAACAATGTTAAACTGTCTAAAGAGTTTTGATCGTGCTGATTTTGGGGGCGGAACTGAGTTAAGGAACAGCTTAATGACGTAGAGAGAAATGATAGGAAGTCAAAGAAATCTGGTGTCCCAGAAGCTGGGAATGGATCACTTAATGATTCCCTGTTCTGTTTGTTCCCTCTGAAGCACCTGCCATTAGCCACTGTCGGAAGACAGGATACCAGGCTAGATGGACCTTTGGTCTGACCAAACAGTATGGCCCTGTTTCTTGATCCTTTTGGATCAAAAACGCGAAGCTAGCTCAGACGAATGGCAGTCTGGTATTATTTTACACCTCTGCTTTTCCCCCTCCTCTTCAAAAGCCCCCACTTCCCTTTGTTGCCTATTTGGGCATGTCTTTTTATTATTATTACTCTCACCCTAGCACGTTATGTCTGCGTAATATTGTCTGATTTTGTGTTGTCTGGTCTTGCAGCTCTGACAAGTTGTAAAGTCGCATAACTGCGTAATCTTACTGGCTATCCTGTGAAAGGGGCAGTAACTGGTAAGGTGCCACAAGTACTCCTTTTCTTTTTGTGAATACAGACTAACACGGCTGTTACTCTGAAACCTATCATACAAGCTGCAAGTCCTTTACCTGTTTGTAGTTTTTTATTGTTTCTTTAGGAAAATTAATAAAAAGTTAATCACACACACACACACACGCTTTTAACCAAGTTAGCTACAAAATGAAGACTGAAGAAAAAAGAAAAAAAAAAAGAGTTAGGGTCTTGCTGATACTTTATATATGGCATGGCCAAACCGCGGCTCTTTCACAGTTCAAGTATGGCTCATGGAGCCCCTCCCCCGCTTCTCCATCTACCAGACTGGGGGGGGGGGGGGGAGGGAGGGGTTGGGGCTTCTGCCCTGCAGGGAGGGGGGTCTCGGGGCTTTAGTCCCAGCAGGCGCCGCCCGGCGGGGCAGGCTGCGCATGTCTTGCGGCTCTCAAACTTCTGAAGATTACTGCATGTGGCTCAGAGAGTCAGTAAGTTTGGCCACCCCGCTTTACATCTGCACACCAGGATATTTCAAGGGCAGATGCCACCCCATTGCCACCAGCATAGTTTGAGTGGCAAAAAAAACACAACCACCCACCCTAGATGGAGTTATACTGGTATAGCTTACCCTGCTTTTGGCAAAGCAAAATAAGCTGTATTGGAATAAAAGCACCTTACGTGGGTGTAACTGCACCTGCATTAAGGCTAATACTGGTAAAAAGTCACTAGACGTGTACATTCAAAGTGGATTAGTTAAACTACACTAAGCTCCGTGTGGATGCACTCATTAAGAATGAGAAAAAAAGAAAAGGAGTACTTGTGGCACCTTAGAGGCATCCGATGAAGTGAGCTGTAGCTCACGAAAGCGTATGCTCAAATAAATTTGTTAGTCTCTAAGGTGCCACAAGTCCTCCTTTTCTTTTTGCGGATACAGACTAACACGGCTGCTACTCTGTAACCTGTCATTAAGAATGAGAGTGGCCTTAATTCAGATTAGTTTAATTCAATTTCAAAACCTCACTCTCATAATTCACTTCCAAAGTGAATTAAACTGAATCAAATTAAGACCATTTTAATTTACAATGGGAGTGTCCACCCAGTAATTTAAAGTGATGTCACTAATTTTACACCTTGTGGTTAATTCCAATTAATTTTCCTGAGGGTCCCCATGTAGACACGCCTTAAGTGTCCACACTGAGGGTTTCCCTGATTTGATTAAGTCAGTTTGATTTCCCCATATTTATTCCCCGCCCGGTGGGTGGGGAGGAGAGGAGAGAAAGGAAGGGAGGAGGTCTTAACATGGATGCATACAAGACTTTAGACCAGGCATTTCTCAACCAGGAAGGCCACAACCTTCAAGGGGGTTACTAGATGCTGAAAAGTTTTAGTACAATCTAAAGCAAGGAAAATCTCACTCCCCCATTTCTGGCACATCTTGACCTTTTCATGGTCAAGCACTCTCCAATCAACCCCTCAAAACACACAAATAAGTTATACAGGTTTACCATTATCACTGATTGTTATTTATATTTTACTCTTTTATAGTAAGTCAGAGGCTCAGGAAAATGTTTGCCTTCAAATAAGGGGTCGCCAGCCTCCAGGCTAAGTAACAAGTCACCCTACAAATAAATCTGCATTAAGGCCAGATCTACCCTGAAAGAGCTTTAAACGTCTGTGCTTCTGAGATGCTTAAGTGATCAAGTGCAAAGAGACACACACAGCAGCAACTGCATACCAGGGAGGAGAGTTAAGTAGTTCCAATACACTGCAATTGCTCTCCAAGAATCTGAAGAATGTGAATAGCAAAGGCGGGAGAGCGGCTGGGGGTGGGACCAGGAAGAAAGGGGATGAAATGGAGGAGGGGGAACAGAGGTTGAGTTGAAGCTGGGGAACAGTCTCCTCCCATGGAAAAAGGAGCCCTGGCTCCTGGAACATTTAGAACTAGGTCACAGAGAGGATTGTACTTAGGAAGAATGCTGCCCTGATTCCCGGTGGGCTGGATTATATAAACCAATTGTCTATTTCAATCTTTGGTGTAGGACAATACACATGCTCCAATGTTAGTCATTAAGATCTCCTGTTTACACAGCGTTCCAGGCTCAGTAGGGGGAGCTCTCCCCTCGGAAACCATATTGACCCCCATGCCCCAGAGCAGCACTAAGGGGCCCAGCCATCCTGCAGAAAGAAAGACAGGCAACTCTCCTTTCTGAATCAGGGCTCACCCCACTACACCAGCTTGTCTGCTGCTGTCTTGGGGGAAGCCATTAAGCAAGAGCTGCCCTGGTATCCCAGCTTTAATGAGCAGAGTCTAAATTACCACCATTTGTATGACAGTTGTGCCCAGCCTTGAACTGGGAGCCCATTACGCTAGGGGCTGTACAGGTGTATTACGGTAGCACCTAGGAGCCCCAGTTACAGACACAATTGTGCTAGATGCAACACAAACAGACAAAAAAGACGGTCCCCTGACCCAAGAGGTTTACAATCCCAATGGATAGAGCATGCCTCCTTTTCCACCCTAAACCACTGTATAGTGTTGTTGCAAAGCTGTTATCAGCTGCCCTGTCTCGCCCCAGACATGGCTGCTTTTCAGAGACTGTTAGTCTCACATACCACAACAATGGACTCGTTTTATAGTTCAGAGAGGGGAGAGTCGGATTAAACGATGCTGATCTAAACCCACCCCATTCCTGATGCTAAACCCAGTCTGCTCCACCTCAGACGGGGGGGGGAGGAGGGGGGGGAAAAATGGAAGGGAAACAGCTCCGCTTGACCGACAGCAGCTGCGTCCCGAAGCTGCGCCCAAACTTACCTGCGCTGTTGGCCTCCGACTCCACGATGTGGATCTCGGTGCAGTCGGCCAGCGAGTGCTCCAGGCACAGCTGCAGGAAGCGGGCTTGGGTGCGAGTGACACGCTTGAGGAGGGAGAGCAGAGCCACCGTCTGCTCGCATTCATTCCAGCCTTTGAACCAGCCGGCCAGGATTCCCACCTGATCCCGGAACATCATGGTGGCAGGCGCGTCAACGTGGCTCGACAGCGACACGCCCAAGGCTGGGGGGGGGAGGGGGAGGGGAGGGAAGGGGGTCAGGGGAGAGGGGGGAGCAAGGGAAACCCCCTCACATGGTTTCAGCTTTAAGTCCTACGGTTTGGCCCAGAGATGGAGGAGGGCACGACCTGGAATGCAAATCCTGCTGCCAGTGAAGCTGGGATCACATGTGTGTGGGGGAGATTGTCCCAAAAGATCTTTCTCCGTGTAGATCCTTTTGCAGGGCTCTCCTCTAAGCAGACTGCCTTGGAGATCCCTGTAAGGAAAAAGAAATATGAGATCGATTAAGAAAGATTGGCCACCCCGGAGCACAGCCTGCATTGTTCTATAACCAGGTTTAAGGCCTCTCTTGCTTTACAACAACAGACAGTCGGGACGATGACACATCCAAACACGCAACAGGCTATACGTTGAGCCCAGCAGAAAGCCCACTTGCGGAACTCATCGCCACAGGAGATCAGAGAGAGTCAACTATTGCATCTGGACAGCTTTATGACCAGCAATGTTGGTGCAAATCAGACCTCAGGTGGGATAGACGAATTCACTTTTCTCCCCTGTTTCCCCCACATACGGTATTGTGCAATTCACAGATTCCAAGGGACCATTGTGATCACCTAGTTTGACCTTCTGGATAACACAGGCCAGAGACCTGTCCCAAAATAATTCCTAGAGCAGAGCTTTCAGAAAAATGTCTAGTCTTGATTTAAACATGGTCAGTGATGGAGAATCCACGACCACCATTGAAACAATATCCCAAGGGTCAACTACTCTCGCCGTTAAAAATGTATGCTTGATTTCCAATCTCAAGTTATCTAGCTTCAACTTCCAGCCTTTGGATCACGTTAGACCTTTGTCTGCTACACTGAAGAGCCCAGTGTTAAATATTTGTTCCCCACGTAGGTATTTATAGACTGGGATCAAGTCACCCCTTTAGCTTAAAGGGAAAGTTACTAGACTGAGCTGGTTGGATGAGAAGGGGATTCACCTTAAGCATCAGGCACTGGATGTTGATAGAGCCCGGACAGCGGGCAAGGTAGAGCAGCCGTCTGACCCAGTGCGGCAGGAAGGTGCCAGATGGAATAACAGACCAACCAGGCGAGGCAGGGTAGTGATACCAGGGCAGATACCCAACCAGCCAATCCTGGGCAACCACATTGCTACAGTACCATAAACCCTCTCCTTCCCTCCCCCTGCCCCGAACTGCAAGTTCATCTTTGTTCATTTCGCATGCAGCCAACCAACCCAAGCAGGTCCAACTCCCCCCAACCCCAGGGCTGCCCTAACAAGACGTGAAGCGAGATTTGAAAGCAGCACTGTGACAAGCGAGCTGATAGCGAGAATCAAGTCAGGGCCAGCCACTGGTGGAAAAGGATGGTTCGGGGCCAAAGTTTAGGTTTTGGAAAAAGGAGATCTTCTCTCTTCTGCCCTGCCCAATAAGATCGAAACCTGGAAAGCCAGGGAGAGGGGATTTTTACATTTAAAGTCTTCTCTTGCACTGATTGCTGCCCACACAGCAGAACTAACAGCATTCAAGAGGCAAAACAGTCCAAGCTGAAGGACGTACATTATAAACACACAGGAGGCCTGCAAAGTCAAAGACCTGGGGCGTATCCACACTATGAAGGCTTTGTGGGTATAGCTGTGTCCACACCAGGTTTGCTGGCACACCTACATCGGTTAGGGGGGCTGATTTTTATCCCCACACTCCTAGATAACACAGCTATGCTTGCAAAACATACACGCTCCCTCCAATCCTTTTTAAGCTTAAAAAAAAACCAAGCAGGGAGACTTTCCTTTTTAAGAATGTCAGGAATGTTACATCTCACTTTTCCTGGACGTCTCCTTGGAGGACTCAGGCACAGCTTGTGAGATCTCTGCCTTTGGAGAGCCAACACTGGGCTCACTTTAGTTTTCCTTCCAACGGGCTGATTCAGGTGTTATGCTAACTAGACAGCTCACACACCTAAAGTTCTCATTTGGGACCTGTGATGGAGGAAGGAGCGGTTAAGGTTGCTAACCTGGGATGTCTGGAGTTCAATACCTCGCTTTGCCAGACTTCCTGTGTGACCTCAGAAGAGGCCCATCTAAATAGCACTGCCCTGCCTCACAAAGGGGGTTGTGAAGATAAATAAGTTAAAGATTGCAAGATGCTTTGATTCTACGGCAGTGGTTTTCAACTTGTGGTCCACGGACCCCGGGGGGTCTACAAACTACGTCTAAGATTCCCAAAGGGGTCTGCACCTCCATTTGAAATTCTTTAAGGGTCCGCAAATGAAAATAGGTTACAAACCATTGATTTATGGTGATGCGGGCAATTCAAGTACCACAGGTCGTTGGGGGGGACCTTTCAGAAACTGTTTGCTTTTTGCACTTCACTCACAGTGGAATCTGTTCTATCTCCTATTTACAGTCAGTTCCACTTCCTGGTTCTCGTACACAGCAGAAGGCTGCACTGTCGGGTGGTACGCACAGCAGGGGGAAGATCTAAATCCAAATAAAACCCTCAGTGAAATTCACCTTCCAGTCAAGACACATTTCTAATACACCACTGACTTACAATAAGTCACTTCTGTCAGAAGATGTTTTAGCTACTATTAAGGCATCTAAAATCACACTCACAGATGAGCAAAAAAAATGTCTTTTTGCCCTCAATTTCCTCCATGCATTCGGCAGCACTTTGGGTACTATCATCCTGGCTGTTTCCCCTTTTGTTCCTGTGACTCCCTCTACACAGCCCCAATGGAAGATTGAAACATACAGGGTAGGGAAATGCAACTGTAAAGCCTCAAAAGGGAGCATTTTCAGGGCAAGCGTTAGGACCTACAGCTGCTTTTAACTTTTGCTGTGAAACCAACAAGATTTCACGTCACCGGCGTCTCTGGAGAGTCACCTGCTCCTGGCACGCAAGCACAATACTGAGGATCAGGACCGCCCAAGAGAAGCAGAGATAAGACAGGAGTAAGAGGGATAGTAGCCGTAAGGGGGCTGAAAAGGAAACTGGCTTTCAACGCCTATTCAGCAAACAAACAATTCAAGACCCATTTTCTCCTATCAGGAGACTCCCCCATTAAGTCTCTGGCCATCGGGAGATCCACACAACAGTGGGTTGAGCAGATGGGGATCCCGGGCACAAATCAGCGTCACAAGGGGAACTTAACGACCCTTTTGTTGCAGTCTCTTTGTAATCCAGAGGGGCCTATCTAGGAACCCAAAATTCCTTGCCCCTTTTTGCTCCAAGAGGGGATTAACTAGATTGTGGAGAAAGAACTCCCTCTTAGCAGGGTGTGGGTGTGGGTGTGGGTGTGTGTGTGGGTCTCTCAAAGGCAGGGAAGAAGCACACTAGCTGCAGTGGTGGTGGTGGGCGGGGGGACATCAGCTCTGCGGCACAGCCATTCTGCAGACACAGCACTTCAGAACTGACAATGCTGAAGACTGTATGAGAAAGAGAAGCAGCTTTGGCTGAGTGGAAGGACAACAGGTGCTTCATATTCCAGCCACGTAACGGTCTCAGATATTCCCCCCGCCCCCCATAGCCTAACGGGTGTGGCATTCTCACACAAGACGTCTTGAACTCCTGAGCTCCCGCGACTGACTTTGCTGTGCTGTTTGCACACCTCGATTTTCTGTCTGAAGCTATAGCTCTCTGAAGCCCAACAAAGCATTCAGACAGCACCTCGCGCTGTGTCTAAGAGGGTTTATAGACTGTGTCTGCACAACGGAAGGCATGTTTGCTGGCTCTGTCTGCAGTGGGATTAGCTCTGCCTCTACGTATTTAAAAAACAAAAGGAAAAGCAGAGATGCTTTTCCAACAGAGTCCAGAGGTGGTGGACACAGACCAACTGTTGGAGAGAGACGTCTGGTTTCCTGATTGAGCCGCTGAAACGGCTGGACCGTGCTCTGACTTGGCAAGGCAGGACATACCATACCAAGAATGCAGCCCTTGGGAGCCATCCAAGGCAACTTGCAGCCTGCCCCCTCTCTTTAATATGGACAAGGCCCAGTGTACAATGCTGCCACCATGAACACAGTGGGTAGCACAGCCTAGTGCTCAGAGCAAAGGGTCAGGATCCCCACATCTTCATCCTAGCTCTGCTACGGACTCCTTATGCTCGTTGGCCATTCCATGGTGCTTCTCGGCACCACTGGGGCGTTAGCCCCAGCATCGCAGCCTGGGTTCCAGCTCAGGAGGGGAGACTCTGCCTTTTGACAGCCGCTCTGGCCACTTCAACGGGATGCCTCTCTCTAAACCCCAGCCCCAATCGCAGAGACCCTGCAGCATCACCCCTGCTGCATGAAACCCAGGTAGTAATAAATATATCATAAACCCCAGCTCTTATCTACTGCTTTTCATTGGCAGACCTCAGAGACCTTTACAAAGCAGCACCATCCCCATTTTACAGACTGAGAAACTGAGGCACGGAGCCGAAGGCTAGTCGCGGGAGAGATGGGAATAGAACCCAGGAGTCCTGACTCCCCATCAGCTGATTTGAGTCACCCTCATGCCGCACTCTCTCCCTTTGCCTCCTCATCCAGTGCGGGGCCTAGCTCAACGGTCTTCTCAGGCTGTCTCAGACACTGCCATGCTCAGCACAGACACTGCAATTTGGCTCAGAGACTAGGACCACCTGTCATCTGGCCTCCTTTGGATCCTGGAGGAAGCATGGCCCAGTGGTTAAAGCACCAACGTGGCACTCAGAAGACCTGGGTTCAATTCCCTGCTCTGCTAGAGCCAAGGGTCACACAGAGACAAGTGATGTAGTCTGTACAGCTGGGGAAACTGAGGCAGCAATGGGAGACAAACAACATCTAGCACTTTTCCTCACCCAATCTCAAAATGCTTCAAGGGAGGTCAGTCCCATTTTCCCCATCTACAGATGGGGATACTGGGGCAGAGAGGGAACATGACTTATCCAAGGCCACCAATGGAACCAGGCCTCAAATCCCAAGCCGGGTCTCTATCCTGCTAGGCCCTCCCTCACAGGTATGTTAGGAGGATAAATACCCTAAAGATTGTGAGGCATTCAGATACGGATGTAAGATGGGTCAGTTTCTGCAGGCTGTGACTACAGACAGACACAGAGAAGACGACGCTATAAAAATAAGAGCAATCAGATACAAGCAGGTAAACCCTAAGACCGCACGGGTACAGTCCACTTCTTTGGAGCAGCGTACCCCTTTCCACGGGTACTCAGCACCTATATATTGCGTCAGTCTCTGCAGCAATCGAAGACAATCAATATATCTTGGATCTATACA